TGTATTAATTGCCGCATGCATTCTTATGTAAAATGTGAATACTATAACTATCAGATGGCAATTGTAAGTAGCTTTGACGTAGTCTAGTGTTTTGAGTAGTCATGCTCACTAAAATGTCCAGACTTGTGGCGGCGTGGTGGGCCGGGTCATTGGGCTCCCTAAAATATGGTCGAGCGCAGTGATGGCTGGCTCATCCGTCATACTCGTGAACGGGTGCTGCTTGTAGGGACTGGTCTGCTCTAATCACTATGACTGATTTTCTCTTATTAATTGTTTAACCAGTTGGTTATATATTCAATATTTTTTCTATTTGAGTATTTAATTGAATTAGTGCTAATTGGTGGTTTGTATTCACACACTTAAACTTAAAAATGTAAGGTAATAATAATAAAATTATTTAAAAGAGCAACACGCAAGTTTCTTGCTCGTTCTTCTTGTGATGAGACAGCTTTCCGAACGAGCGGTAGATTAAAAATGTAATGACTATTCAAAAGTGCTTCAATGTAAGTTTATTTGAATAAATGATTTTCTATTCTATTCTATTCTATTCTATTCTATTCTATTCTATTCTATTCTATCTATCTCCAAAAGTGAAAATGGTCCATTAAATTCTTTTGTGATGTTAGAAACTTGTGAAGCAGAAATTTATGAGACGGTCATGTCGCTAAAGAATAGTAACTCTGTCAGTTGGGATAGAATGTCTTCTATATTTTTCAAAAGAAACATTAATTCTCTTATTGCACCTATTACTCATATATGTAATTTGTGTTTGTCATCAGGTAAGTTTCCTGATGTTTTAAAATACTCCATTGTAGTTCCCATCTTTAAAACGGGGGATAAAGATTGTATAGCTAATTATCGCCCAATTTCGTTGTTACCAATTCTATCAAAAATATTGGAAAAAATTATTAATAAACGTTTGATTAACTATCTGGAACAAAATAACTTTATATCTCAAAATCAATTTGGTTTTAGGGGAAAGAAATCGACTATTGATGCAATCGAAAATTTAGTAACTCACATAGTGGAAAATCTTGACAGGAAGAAGAAAATAATAGGAGTATTTCTAGATATAGCCAAAGCATTTGATACTGTGTCCGGTCCCCTATTATTACACAGATTAGAATCTGTTGGTATCCGAGGTCTTCCACTGGAGCTTCTTAAAAGCTATTTATCAAATAGGTCACAAAAAGTTCGAATAGGAGATTTGTACAGTTCCAGACAATATCTTACATTTGGCGTACCTCAAGGCTCCGTTCTAGGACCTACACTCTTCTTGATATATGTAAACAGTCTATGTAATATGAAAATACAAAATGGTAAAGTAATAACTTTTGCGGATGACACAGCTATTTTATTTGAAGGTTCTACATGGGAGGAGGCTAGACTATCAGCAGAAAAGGGTATCTGCCAAGTAGCCAATTGGTTGGACTACAATATATTGACATTAAATTTGAATAAAACGCAATATATAACTTTTTCGATGAGAAATAATTTACAACCTAATATAAATTTTACATTGAGAATGCATACTTGTGATGTTTCTGGATTTACTAACTGCAACTGTTTTGTTCTTTCTAAGGTTGATAGTCTTAGGTACCTTGGAATTGTAATAGATCAAAATTTGAATTGGAAACAACATATTGAAACTATAAAATCTCGAATGCGAAAACTTATACCGATTTTTAAAAGAATTAGATCTCTAAAAGATAAAAAGGTTAGTAAAACTGTGTACATAGCTCTGTGTCAGTCTATACGTACATATGGCATTTCAGTATGGGGAGGTGCCAGAAAAAGTACTCTTCTGAAAATAGAAAGGGCCCAAAGATGTATTCTGAAAGTGATAAATTTTAAACATTTTAGATATTCAACAACGGAGTTATACAAACAATTTAAGGTATTGAACGTAAGACAGCTTTTTATCAAAACTGCTATACTTAGACAACATACATGTTTAGATCCTAAAATTATATGTTCTGGTAGAAGATTGCATGAGGTATATAGGGTTCCTGCATGTAGAACAACATTTGCTCAAGGTTTTTCTTACTTCTTAGCACCTTTCTTATACAATCACATCTGTAAAACTATACCGCTGAAAATTATGTCGAGACATACATAGATGTCGAGAGGCACTGCATGTATTCTTGAATAAATTGGATTATTGTGGAACTGAAAACCTATTAAAACTTGATGTATAAATGGGTATGGGTGGCCTATAGAATGGATAATTAAAATAATTTAATGCTAAAAAAAAAAAAAAGCAAATATACTCCATACTTGTGTCCATCTGTCTTTAGTGGAATATTTACATTGTATACGTTTATACATATATACATTATATATGTATTGTATATGCATTTATACATTGTTATGTTATAATTAATAGTATCTTATTGATAAAATTTATTGTGTATTCTATTATACAAATCCCATTAAATAGTCACGTATTTGTCTATGTAAATATATATCGTGTATAGAATGTATATTTACATATGTGTAAGAAATATACTGTAAAAGATGTATATATATATGTGTGTGTGTGTGTGTGTATATATATATTTATATATATTCAAAACATAGAAATAGTAAATATATTGTTATTATTAATAAATTGTCTGGTAGTAGTTATTAAGTTTCTTTTTATGAATTAGTCTGTAATCCGCATATTTGTCTGTTTTGTTTGCATATACTGTTTGTTATTTGCCCCTTTGGATGATCACGCGCTTATTTCATGTTGTATGTGAACAGTAATAGAATGTAAAAATCAACTGTAAGTGAATACAATAGAGCCTATATTTAAATGTATCATTAGTATGAACCGAGCTTGACTCATTACCTTGCCGTAACACAGTTTTTAATAAAAACTAGCACGGGGGGTAGTTTTCTTTCTTTGGTACTCGTACTGCTGTATGCTTAGTTTATTATGTACCCACTATAATTCTGCAAAATAAGGATTGTGTCCAATTTAACATACAAATTATTATCTAACTACTTAGAATTGATAATTGTTTCATCAGCATGCATTTAATAAGGACTTAAATTTATTTTGTTACCGCACTATGTCGTTTTTATTTGTTTGTTGTTTAATATTATTTGAATTGTTTAACTATAAAGTAAACGTGTACAAAACGCTGCTGTATTTACTAAGCAATTTTATTTTTGCAAGAATATTGTCAAGGCTGTACTAAATATTAGTTCAATAAATATTATTATTATTATTATTATACCATGATAGACGATTACTCTTCAACCTCTCTGACACCGGTGCCACTTTCATACTTCCTCTAATGTATTCATTCTTTATCTTATCCATTCTTGTCACACCACACATCCACCTCAACATTCTCATTTCAGTTGCATGCAGTCGTCTTTCATCCGTCGCCTTTACGGGCCAGCACTCTGATCCATACAAGACGTAAAAAAATATCTATCGCAAAAAATTTATTATTTTATAGATACATTTTATGTGTGTAAAAATTAAACATGTTGTGACTAGGTACATCAAGTAGGTTGTATTATATATATATATATTGTTGCGGGTGTTTGATACTGTGTTGTTGGTCGAGACGATGTATATTACAGATGATAATAAACTGACAATGTGTACATAGAAATATTGATCTTATATACTAAATAACAATAGGAAAATGTAAGGTGGGGTGACACAGTTTAGACACGGCAGTGCTTAGTAGACAATATTGAATTTGTCTTACTAGACATTATTAAATGCAATTATTATATATATATATATAAAATTACTTTAATATTTAATCTTGGGGGAAAGGAATTGCCAGTAATGTGGAGTGATCTTATTGCTAACAATGTACCATGTCAGGCTGATCTCCACGCGGTTTACCCTGGAAACCATCGTTAAAAATTCTTAGTGTACTTGTTACGATGGGCTAGCTGACTTGACCTCATGTTCATCTTATCATCTTCCACTGCGTAAACCGGTAGCGCAGGTGGGTGCTCCTTTCCATTATCACCCATAAAAAAAATGTTTAATATTTTTTATGGGTGATAATGGAATGTTGTTTTATGAATTCTATAAGACATCCTGTTTAGTAAAAAAAAAATGCCGTCGAGTTAAAATCTCAATTGTAAGTATAATATTACAATCTCAATTGTAAGTACAATATTAGGCGTAACGACGAGAGGTCATCATTGAATGAACTCAAATAATTGTTTACGTCATTGGTAAACGATATCAAGATATATTCAAGTCGTGGGATTTACCGGAGATAAGTTTCCTTGTTCATATACGAATAAGTTTTATGAAATACAAGATTTATTTAATCATGCCACTTTAAAACATATTATAATGAACTAGCTACCCACCACGGCTTATCGAGTGTATGTATCATTACATTGTATAAAACAAAGTCGCTCTCGCTGTCTGTCCGTCCCTATGTATGAATCTCTCCTCTCTCCTCTACCCCATCATCTTGAATAACACTATCTATTAAAAAATCGTTACAAAATACGTTGCATAGTTTTAAAGATTTCACATGGAGACTGCGACAGCGACTTTGTTTTATGCTGTGTAATGATAATAATAATAATAAGTGTATAATCAATTGAATGTTTATTTATTGTTGAATATATATACACGTACTACTACGTATTGACTACTTAGGGTATATATTAATCAATAAATATATATTAATTATCTTTTCAATAAATTAATTATATTATTTTAACAGATTAAAAAAAAATCTTAGATAGCGCCGTAAAGATTTTAATTTTTTTACTCGCAACCTGAACGAATTACCGTGCAAAGTTCATACAATTACAAAGTCTATTTTTATCCGTATCTGTGGTGACCCTATGTCTTTCATAAACAGTCTGAGTCAATATTTCGTAGTAAATAACCGCTTATAATACTCGTAATATAATAGTCTATTAAAGAATAACATTAAAACAGATTCAGTATATTTTATGTGAATTAAATAATCATATTAAACGTTCTGATAGATGATCTAAATATAAGAACATTTAAGTGAAGAATTTATAATTATTAAAGATATTTCAAGATATAATATAAAAACGAAGCATTTATTAATTACTTTTTTACATTCTAGTGATATATGTATATTTGGTGAATTTATTTATATTATAAACGATGAATATATTATGTGCTATAGTTATTATTAATGTGCTAAACTACGTGCAGGCGTCAGATTTAGCGAAGAATTGGGGAATAGTTGGCACTCCTTTGGGGAGTGCTTATCCATGCAAAGGAAATGACGTAGTTTTAGCACAATTTGAAGCAGGTTTGAGCCCAGAAGAAGAAAATAAATACAGCTTATATATTGGAGAACAATTTCCTACTCACTCGCGTATTATAATTAAGTTCGATTCTGAAGCAACAGTAACTTTGGTGAGTGTGAAATTTACAAGATATAACATACTAATATTATTGATACTTTTATTAACTAATAATAGGAATTTTCTTCATTAAGATGTATTCTCACAATAACATTATAATACTTAATTATACAACAAAGAATCTAAAATTAAAAACATTAAAAAATATCGTCTTATAACTAAAATATATTATTAAAAGGAGTTTCTTTAGGCAAGGTTCCGAAATTACTGGAAGCGTTTCCCCTTAGAATGGCAAGACTAATTCTTTGTCCGAGGTAGCTACCAGCTATTTGCTGTGTTGTCGACTAATCTTTTTGTTATTTCCTTAAAAAATTTATAGTGCTAGGACCTCACGGACCAACGGTCTCGACACCGAATAGGACAAAATCATATTTTATAATTTTACTTTTATTAACCTTTGTATTTTTGAGGTTCATCTAAAATTAAAAAATATTCAGTCTTAATAAAATAACAACCATTTTAGGGCAGAGCCTAGAGAACGGTAGAAAGCATGAACAACACAATAATTACTGATGCCCTTATATTTTTAAGGTTAGGGTTAGACCCTAACATCTATACATATAAATAAAATTGAAGTGTCTGTTTGTAATATTGAAATAACCGTTTTTACTACATGCATATGAATATAAATACGGTACAGACACCAAAATAACATTTTTTTTTAATTTTTGACCGTCTGTCTGTTTGTTCCGGCTAATCTCTCACATGGCTGGACCGATTTTGACGGCCTTTTTTGGCAGATGAAATAAGGACTAACTTAGGCTACTTTTATTTTAGAAAATAAAGTTAAATTGCACGCGGACGAAGTCGCGAGAACAGCTAGTTATAAATATGAAGGCTTAATTTAATGATAATTAGGCTGTAGCCTAAAAAGATTGTTATTTTACAGACTACCGAAAGGCAAATAGCATGACTTATTTACGCAAGCAGGCCGTTATTTATTTATTTTATTTATTTCGGATATTTATATCCATATTATGTTAGTAAAGAACTTATCAAATGTGTTAGTAAATTACAATTTTATTCATTCAATTCATATATTTATGCATATTTCTACATCCAGAAGCACTGAGTTCACAGCAGTGCAATGATATCCAGTGTCTCTGGAGCGAACAATCCGACATATTTGATATGGTGTTTAGGAACAGCCTCGAATTCTACACATTAAATTAAATTAGAATTAGTTAGCAATAATAAAAACCCTGAACAATCCGCACAGCGCCATCTAGTCCTAAGCTAAGTAAGCCTAGTACCCCTAATACAAGCTCTGCTTACCGTGAAACTATATGGCGCTGTGTGAATTATCCAAGGTTATTTATTTATTGCTAGAGCTCATTATACCAAGGCAAACAAGTATACGAAAGAAAATTGTAAAAGATTTTAGGCTGCCTAAAATTGCGGTGGATTCTATATTAGAACGTGTATATAAAGTTGTACTAGCAGGCTCTTACCTGATTAGGTTGGGCATGGAAAGAAACACTAGCTGTGAAGGTGAGTGTTGCGTATGTCGGCAAACGGGCCTCCTAAAACTACACCCGGGTCACAAATCCCAGGAATTGCTTGGCATACGATGGACCTAGCACTCGCACGGTGAATACATGAAATACTGAGAATATCGTTTCTAAAATTTTCAGGTAAATGACAAAGTGGCAAGAATAAGAAATGTTGCAGCTGACTTGGTAGTTTTTATATCCTTTTTCAAGCCTGGGTCCTCATTGAGCCTCATCATTAAGGGTCCACAAACGGGAACAGTTCCGTACCCCACTTCTATCGATGTCAACTCAGTGGAATACTGCAAACAACCGGCGCCGGTAAGAGACTTTTTTTCGGATTACTCTAATGCTGTTGGCCGCAGCTGGCCTTTACAGCTTCACCGAACGATAGGGGGTGAATGCAAGTGGCACTCCAAACGCGCGGACTTATGGGGCGGTTGAAGGCCAACTCTTGTCTGATGGATATAACTTTAGTGTGAGGGCACCGCTAGGTTCGAACCTCGGCTCAGGCTATCGTAATTTCGATTTCCGTTTGAATTGGACGTGCACGGGGGATCGTTAGGAGGAGCGACCGCGGGCACTGGTGTGGGCGCGAGCAGTCGCCGCGCCTGGATGATTGCGCGGGTAAGACACTTATCTTCTTCTTCTCTTTTATACACTAGCTTCGATAGTCTAGGTATTTAGCACACCACTTTACTTATGATGGTCGCGGTTTCGATTCCTGAAACTTCATGGATATGATTTTTTGCATTCATGAAATTATGTATGTATTTACAAAAAAATGTATGTGTTCAAGTATTTATCTTAGCTGTCTAGTACCCATTACACATGCTGTGCTTAGCTTGAGACTAGATGGTGCTGTGACCTGTCCTGGGATATTTTTATTTTATACTACTATTTTGGCAAACAAGCATACGCCCATCTGATGGTAAATGGTTACCGTATCTCATGGACGTCTAAAACATCAGGGGTGTTATTATTATTGTCAAGTCGACGATTAGCTTAGCTTATATGCGGTTATATTTGATAAAACAAAATTAAAGATCCAATCTTTTAGGGATTTCTTGACAGTGTTATTGAGGGATATAAAGGAACAGCTCACGTGGCACCGTCAGTTCCATCTGGTTCGTGTGGGAGACGCAAAGTGGTGCATACGGAGCTGATCGTGAATGGACAACCCACCAAACCTGGAGACTGGCCCTGGCATGGAGCCATCTATAGGCTGGAACAATCCTCTGTGAGATATATTTGTGGTGGGACGTTGTTGTCCAAAACTTTTGTTCTAACAGGTTTGTAATGAAACATTTCTAGGATCTAGAAACAGGATTTCTAGGAATAGGAATAATTTTTACAAATGAATATGGCTTCTTTATGGATGATAATGGAATGTTGCGCCCGTCTCCGCTGGCGAGGCACCAGTGGAGGATAATAAGAGTAACATGAGGTCAGGTCAGTGAGCCCGTCGTGATGTTTTTCAGGGGAACAACGTAGAGGAGAACCTGGTATAGTACATTGCTAGCAACGGGGTTATCAGTCCACATAACAATCCCCTTTCCCCCCAATTGAGGTGGAGTTCCGTATCTTATGATAAGCTGTAATCGTTGCCTATATACATGAATAGCATGAACATGTGACTTTCGTGATACTTCTTCGTGTGTTGCCATTTCTGAGGCCTAAGGTGCCATTCATCATGTCAAGCAATCAAATTAGTTCAATTGGAAAATATAAGGAATTAAAAATCTATTTCAGCTGCTCATTGTGTAACCATTAGTGGAAATCCAGTACTACCAGAGATTTTGAGTATCATTTTTGGAAAGTACCACCTGATTGGTGGTGATATAGCAACACAAGAGAGAGAGGTAAATATGATCAAAATTTGAATATAGTTGAAATAGAAATAATCATTATTCAAATATACTTAATGTAACCACTTTGAATAGTAATATTTTTTATTCTACTACTCATTCGGAATGCATATTCATCATAAGGAGAACGAGAAAGAAAGAAACGAAAAGAAAGAAAGGAGAACGCAGATTCATAGCAAAGAAACTTGCGTGTTGCTCTTAAATAAAAGTTGTTCTAAGTAATAAAGATTAGGCATGGGACAATAAACATATTGTCAGTGCTATGAATTATAACAAAAACATTATAACTGACTTTTATAATTCCAGTATATAGAAATTCAACGATTTCAATGATCCTTCTACGATTGCCTTGTAAGAAGATAACGAGTTGCTTATTTTAAAAAAAAGTGATCCCTTCTAGTATAAATGTTATATTCATAAAATGTATAATTATATATTGTTCATAATAATTTGTTTTGCCAGATACAACAAATTATAGTACATGAAGAATTTAATGCATCCAGACTAAACAATGATATTGCATTGATGAAAATGAAGACTGAAGTATCTTATGATGATTATGTCCAGCCAGCTTGCTTGTGGCATGCGAATGCATATAAAAAATTGCCCGTTGGATCAATCATGGGAACTGTAAGTAAATATTTTGTCGATATAATATAACCCAGAACAATTCACACAGCGCCATCTAGACCCAAGTTAAGCTAGCTAAAGTATGTGTTTTGGGTACTAGATAGCTGATACATATACATAGATTTTTTTTGTAAATACATACATACTACACATAGAAAACACCCAGACCGATACAAACTATCATACTGATGACTACAAATGTTTGTGCCGTGCGAGGAATCGAACCCGCGACCATCGGTCGTAAGGTCCTAATAATGTGAGATTATTATTATTATTATAATCTAAAAACAATTTTAAGATATTTAATAAACTTCTATTTTCAGGTCGTCGGTTGGGGATTTAATCACAACGATCAACTAGCAAGCACTCTCCATCAGGTGGTGCTGCCCAAAATATTAGAAAACCATTGCATTAAAAGTAATACTGCTTTCTTCGGATTGTTATTAAACAACAGAAAATTTTGCGCTGGATATAGAAACGGTAACTACTTTTGTAGATCGTTGCCGACCCTTAAGAAACTCTAATATTAATGATTTTTATATTATTTTGGGCTATTGCTAGGTGCTTAGATCTATAACACTACGAACTGCATACATATTTGTGTTCGCACTTTTTCAAAGTTACTGCTTAGAGCCGTCAGGGACAAGAATTGAAGGAACGATGTTTTTTATCAGAAGAACCAGAGTGACCGACATAGCCCGATGAATTGCGACTCTGAAGTGGCAATGGGCAGGGCACATAGCTCGTAGGACAGATGGCTGTTGGGGCAGTAAAGTCCTCGAGTGGCGACCACGGACCGGAAGACGCAGCGTGGGAAGGCCTCCAGCAAGGTGGACCGACGATCTGGTCAAAATCGCTGGAAGGCATTGGATGCGAGCAGCGCAGGACCGATCGTCGTGGAGATCTTTGGGGGAGCCCTATGTCCAACAGTGGACGTCTTCCGGGCTGCGATGATGATGACGATGATGTCTTTTATCTCATCGGGATAGAGTGTATGCTTTCCAAAGGAGATATTTCGTTTATGTATGAGTTGGCTACAACCACATAAGTTGTGTAGTGGTTTCTTCTCAGCTTAGTAAAATCTGCATACCTGTTGAGCGCATTATTAACCCCATGGTGTAATCACTAGACAAAAACCCGAGCAAGCTGTTCATTCCTCGATACGCCTTAGCTAATGTGTAATTATTTATTTATTAGTGAATAACCAAGGACAATTCACACAGAGCCATCTAGTCATTAGTTAAGCAGAGCTTGTGTTATAGGTACCAGACAACTGGTAAAATTACTTAAATACATTTTTATATACATAGAAAATATCCAGACCAATAGAAACAATCATACTCATGCATACATATAGATGGTGAAAGATGATATGGTAAGAAAGGGAGTAAATAACGAGATGACTGTGATAATAGGGATGAATGGAAGAGAAAAGAATATTACGCCGACCCCAAATAAAGGTATAAGGCATAAGGAAGAAGCAGATGATACTCATGGCTACAAGTATTTGTATCCATGAGTATCATACAAGTATTTGTATCGTGCGTGGAATCAAATCCGCAAGTAAGGTGGTGTCCTAATTCGCTAAAACATCGAAGCTGTCGTAACTAATTTTTTTTTCTCCTTCTATTTGTTTCACCGTTTTTTTTTAACGTATATAATTTGATTTATTTTAAATCTTAAGGCTCCCGCTGCGATTTGATACGTAACTAATATTTACCAATAACGTTTCAGGTACCTCAGCCTGCAATGGAGACAGCGGCGGTGCTTACCAAGTATTTGTCCCTGATGTTACTGGGGACTCCTCAGCCAATGCAACTGGGTCTTGGCACGTCCGTGGGATCGTTTCTCTAGCCATGTCGCGACCTAATGAACCTATTTGTGATAACAGGCAATACTCATTATTTACCGATGTCAGTGCATTCGTTGGATGGATAAAGACATATGTTAAGACTGATAATTAATTTTATCAATGTATTTAATTAAAATATACGTTTTTACGTGTGTACGTTTATTTATTTATAACTAGCTGTGTCTGTGGTTTCAGTCACATGAAATTTATAGCCTACTAGCTTTTGCTCGCGGCTTCGCTCGCGTTAATTTATCCCCTTAGGGGTGGAATTAATCAAAATCCTTTCTTAGGGGATGCTTACGTCATTATAGCTTTATGCATGCAAAGTTTCAGTCTGATCGGTTTAAAATTGACAAAGTTTCATCCCCTATTTTATCCCCTTGGGGGTAGAATTTATCAAAATCCTTTCTTAGCGGATACGTACGTCATAACATATACCCGAATGCCAAATTTCAGCCCGAACCGTCCAGTGGTTTGGGCTGTGCGTTGATCACTATGTCAGTCAATCACCTTTGAGTTATATATATTTAGATATATTACTCTGATGTATAAGCTTACTTTAAACTTACTGTAAAGTTTCATCAAAACCCGTTCAGTTCCCGTTAGTATTCGAACAATTGTCTAATGCCCATAATACAAGATCTATTTAGCTTGGCATTGCATAAATTCTCCAGGGTTATAACTACTTTTATTATTTTTAATTCGAAAATCCCAGAGGAAGACATACGTTCTTGTAGTCTTGCTGTATTGCCATCATCAAGACTAAAAGACTTCGAAAAAACTAAACGTGTAATACTGGTAGAGCTAACTGTACTATGGGAAATATAATATACCTAAATACCATGCAATAAAAACAAATAAATATTACGAACTAATAAATGAATTAATAAAAAATGCCTATGTGGTTAATTTATATGCGGTCGAATTGGGAGCAAGAGGTATTGGGAACAACATTTTTTATTAATGAGTGTGATTGTTTATATCGGTCTGAGTGTACTCTATGTATATTATGTACGTATTTATTATAAAACAGTTGTCTAGTACCCATAACAGGCTCTGCTTGATTTGGGACTAGATGGCGCTGTGTGAATTGTCCAATGATATAAATCAAATAATATTACCATATAAACGTATTGAAAATTAGCTGTGCATTGTGTTAATTTAATACATAAATAATAAAAACAGCTCCTTTTACTTTTTTATTATTTATTTTTTTATTTATTTATTATTTTACGGCTCTGGATATAAGTCCTTTTTAGCCCAACATAAAATCCAAAAACTTAAAAAAAAATTATAAATCCTTCCCAGTGTTGGAAATAAATTTATATAAAGTCTTAAATAGTGCAGGCCTGTCCCCCGAGTGTTTAATTATCATTTAAAAGACTATATTTGTTTGAGCAATGTAGTTTTTTTCTTTCCAACAGGTGGGCCGTCAACTTTTCTTGCATTATATGTATATATAAATTTAACTACAACACATCTATCAGCAATATGAATGGTAACAAGTGCCAAATAGGAAAAAAACTTTTAAAAGCAAGATTCCAGTTTGTTTGTTCGTTGTTAGTAATTATTGAAGAAACTACACGTACTACGTAGTTTTCTTTATTCATGTTGCAGTCAATTGTACATTCTATTGACCTCTTGTCACGACAGTGTCGCCATCTGGTATCCTGAACTCATTGGGATTCTCTAAAATAATAATAAAATGCCCAAATATTGGATTAGGTTTTAACCCCCAATATTGGACTAGGCTAGGTTAGTTATAGTTTTAGTTTGGTCATCATCGTCATCATCATCATCATCATTTCGGCCCGGAAGACGTCCACTGCTGAACAAAGGCCTCCGCCAAAGATCTCTACGATGATCGCTCCACTGCTGCTCGCATCCAACACTTTCCAGCGATCTTGATCAGATCGTCGGTCCACCTCGGAGGCCATCCCACGCTGCTTCTTCCGGTCCGCGGTCGCCACTCAAGGACTTAACTGCTCCAACGGCTATCTGTTCTGCTAGCTATGCGTCCTGCTCTTGCTATTTCGGTTTTGCAATTCTTCGGCCTATGTCGATCACTCTAGTTCTTCTGCTATTAAATTGGTAAATAGTAATAATAATATACATTTATTTAACATTGTTAATATTAGCATATTACATTAAGTTGGTAGCATGTATATATATATATACACATACGTATACATACACACAGACACACCAACATAGGCAAACAATTAAAAACCAATATAATATAAAGAATATTTGATAAAAGGACTCTGCTGCTTTTCAGTGGAGACCTAGTATAGAATATACAAGAGTTCCTGCCCAAAGAAGAAGCTGATCAGCCAGTTCCCCGCAAGTTGTTGATCCTGGAGTTGATGCTAGAGGTGTTTAGCCTAGGCCCCAACTTTCACCCACATAGTAAAATACTTCTAGTAATATTTAAATTAGTAAATAATATTATAAAGATGTAAAAGTTTAATTATTTCAAAAAATATATTACCGATTTTAATATCTTTTATTAATAGGAAGTTTAATTTAGCTTCCTCTTAAAGAAATAGGAAGCAGGTATCATGATTATACATCATTTAAAAATAATACAGTAATTTATACATAACTGCTATAATATAATTTAATATATGTGAAATTTATTTCTATAAAAGTCATAAATTTTCATTGATATATCCATTATATGTACTAGTTATTTGTTGAAAGTTTATTTTATTTATACAGTAAGTACTACCGACCTTATACACTGATCCTATTGGTTGTATAGCATAAAATCTTCCCTGATTATTGTGCCTTCCAACATTTTTTTTTTCAAATATAACTATAATTTCCAGATTTGCACATTGAAAAAAAAAATTCTGATTCTGATTCGATCTGACAGTTTTGCAAAATAACTTATTCTCATCATGCCTGCAACATTGATAAACTTGATTTCAAGTTGCACTTGTATCAGTAGACTGGAGATATCTTGTTTGACCTCACGTATACATTCGACAACACTGTGCAAATTACTTTAAAATTAAACTAAATTATACTTTACACAATTATATTAGAGTTTAAAATAATGTTCCAAGAAGCAGTAATCCTTTTTTTACTTGCTATAGCAAATGGTGCGCCACAGAATAAAAATCGGAATCTACTCATAAATCCAATAGTAGGCGCTTATCCATGTAAAGGATATGCTAATATGTATACTGAATTTGAACCTGGTCTACCACCAGACGAAGAAAATTCATATAAAGTTGTTATAGATGACGAACTACCACTTTATAGTCAAGTTAAGTTAAAATTTGACTCAGAGGCTACTGTTATATTGGTGAGTAAATTATTTCTTAATTTATTTTTATAAGTAACTAGCAGACCCGAGCACGCGTTGCTGTGCTTAAGGCTCTTGAATAAATTAATATTGCGACTATAAATTCAGATGTAAGTGATCCTATCTTTCAAGTTGAATCAAATTGCACATAATGTGCAAATCAAATTTGCAAGGAGTCCATCGCGGACAAACAACGTGACACGTAATTTTTATTTATAAAGATTAAGCTATAGAATACTAACAAGACTACCTTTATGCATGAACAGCATACATCACACATACAGATATCACGTTATCATATAAGAACCGTGATCTACTCATGCGTTAACATTTTTAGACTAAGAAGAGGAGAACTAAGTCATCATGCATTCATTACACTGCTTTATCTTTATCACACTGTCATTACACTGCTTTATCTTTGTCACACTGTCATTACACTGCTTTATCTTTGTCATACTATCATTACACTGCTTTATCTTTGTCACACTGTCATTACACTGCTTTATCTTTATCACACTGTCATTACACTGCTTTATCTTTGTCACACTGTCATTACACTGCTTTATCTTTGTGACACTGTCAGTACACTGCTTTATCTTTGTCACACTGTCATTACACTGCTTTATCTTACCCGTAAATTATAACACATCTTACAAATCGGCCTCGGTGGTCTAGGGTTTTAGCAGTTTGCTTTATTTTTGATGGTCGCGTGTCGGTAGAAACATTTGTATTCATGAGCATCTTTGTTTGGATCGGTCTGGCTGTTTTCTATGTATATTATGTATCTATTTACAAAAACATATATCAAAGTATGCATATCAGTTGTTTAGTACCCATAACACAAGTTCTACTTACCTTGGGACTAGATCAGTCACCTATTCAGGTAAGTATATATGCGACCGTTGACAGTTACTATCTGGACCGTCAGCGTGTTTATCATTCCAAATACATAAGAATGGGAAAGTATTTCCGTATGTCTTGTATCTTTTATCTAGACAACAAGATCTGGTGTATAAAACATTTTCAATTTAAATTCAATAAATGTTATATCTTCATAATTATTATGAATAATGTTTTCATACACAACGAAACTATAACTTGTAAATCTGGTTATGTTAATTTGTTTGTTGGTTTTTGGCATTTCAATGTCTTTACAATATTTTTTTATAACAGTAATTCTGGTATTTCCTCTTCGTTCATTAAACATACGGAATTAATTAGAATTCCCTAAGTCAACAACATCGTTAGTGGTGCAGGTACTTTAAATTGCGATTAGTTGTTATTTGAGCTTTCTCTAATCATTATTTCCCTTTCCTTAAGTGTTTTCTTTCATCTCTGTCTGCAGTCAAATCGTTAGGTATTCTTTTCCATATCTAAATATATATAACTCAAAGGTGACTGACGTAGTGATCTATCAACGCACAGCCCAAATCACTGGACGGATCGGGCTGAAATTTAGCATGCAGGTAGATGTTATGACGTACGCATCCGCTAAGAAACGCTTTTGATTAATTCTACCCCCAAAGGGATAAAATAGGGGATGAAATTTTATATGAAACTTAGTCAATTTTAAACCGATCGGGATGAGACTTTGCATGCATAAAGCTACTATGATGTAGGCATTCCCTAAAATAGGACTTTAATAAATTCCACCCCTAAGAGGTTAAATTAACGCGAGCAAAGCCGCTTGCAAAAGCTAGTCGTAATATATTTTTAGAGTCCATCCATCTCTTTTTAGGTCATTCTCTCATCTTTTAACCATCCACATTCATATATAGCACTTTATTTATAATATTCTATTCTTTCCTGTTCATTTTTCTTTTTGCCTTTGAATTTTATTATAGCCGTTTTTATTCTCACAATATCTTAAACATGCAAAGTTCAACAATATTTGTTTATTACCGCAATTTGAAAATTTCTTGTTCGATCTTCTTCTGCATTATTTAGATTGGTTTGAGTTTCTTCTATGCATGGTATCTGTGTATTATGTACAAAAAATGTTACTAAGTATTTATATCAGTTGTCTAGTACATATAATACAAGCTATATAATATATATAATACTTAGTTTGGGAATAGGTGGCACTGTCTGAATTGTCATGAGATATTGTAATTATTTTTCTTTTCCAGTCTAATGAAACGGTGACTAAAGCTCGAGTTCATGCTTTTAATGATGACTCCGAAGTACTTTTCAATATCCAGTTTTTCAAGGATGCTAAACAAGCGAAATTTCGTGTCAAAGGACCACCAAGTGGCACTATACCATATTTTACAAGTGTTGATATCAACTCAGTGGAATATTGTAAGGAACCCATAACCGTAAGTAATAGTTTATCTTATGTTAATAATATTATGAACGCGAAAGTTTGTAAGTATGGATGTTTGTTACATTTTCATGCAAAAACTACTGAACGGATTTTGATGGAACTTTACAGAAATATATATATGAAACCGCGGACACTATTAGTTATCTATATACGCGTACTATCAAAATCGGGGGAAGGGGTTCACAAAAAGGTTTCGACTGTTTAAAAACATAGTAGTAATATTAATAGAACGTCGTCTCCAAGTGACCTATTATCCCTACTTACATCTAGTAATTCGTCAGGTCAATTCTGATGTAACAAAAAAATTCTTTCATATGTCAATTTATATTTGTGACTGTCTCTTCGGTGAAGGAAATACTGAACATGGTTTAATACTAAAAAAGACTCCAAGATATGGCGGTAGGCTCGCCCTCTATAATAAATAACAACCTGTTGGCTGGGCCTTCATGTAGTGATATAAAAAAATAGATAATCTATTCACAAACTTTATCTTATTAATTAATATTATAAATGCGAAAGTATTGATATTTGTTACTCTTTCACGCAAAAACTACTGAACGGATTTTAATGAAATTTTACAGTATTATAGCATATGCATCAGAATAATATATAGGCTATATTTTTATTGAAATTTAACGCGGGTTAAACCGCGTGCACAATTAGTATACACATAAAATTTCATCAAAATCGTATGGCGACTAACAGTGACACGATAACTTTATATGTGAGATATATAAAGTTATCGTGTCACTGTGTATTGAGTGACCTAAAACAAATTTCTTTCACAGGGAACTTTTGATAATTACATCCTAGGAAGTAAGGGAACAGCTCATGTTTCACTATCAGTGCCTGATAAGGGTTGTGGGAGACGGAAGGTCACTCATACCGAGCTCATCGTCAATGGAGTGCCTACAAAACACGGAGACTGGCCATGGCATGGTGCTATATATCGACTGGATAGTTCAACTCTTCAGTATATATGCGGTGGGACTTTGATCTCGAAGAGTTTTGTTTTAACAGGTAAAATGTTATTGATATCATTCCTTTATTGCCTTGCCTTTATCCCATTAGAGGAAGTATGAAAGTGGCACCGGTGTCAGAGAGGTTGAAGAGTAATCGACTGTCATGGTATGGACATGTAATGCGTAGGATTGAGGATAATATTTTAAGAAAGGTGTTACATATGAATGTGGATGGTTATAAGGGCAGAGGAAGGCCGAAAAAGAGATGGATGGACTGTGTGAAAGATGATATGGTAAGAAAGGAAGTAAATAACGCGATGACTGCGAACAGGGATGAATGGAAGAGAAAAACATATTACGCCGACCACAAATAAATGTGATAAGGAAGAAGCAGATAATGATGCTTTTATCTCATTATTTGTGGTTGGCGCAGTATGTCATTCTCTTCCACTAATCGGTATTCAAATCTGAGCATACTCTCCTTCTATTAAAAAAAAAGAATATTATCTTTCACACAATCAATACACTATCTATAATATCGAAAAATACAGAGATAAATATTGTATAAAGTTGTCTGCATCTGCATCCTACTCGTGAACTGGTGCTGTTGGTAGGGACTAGTGTATTCGGGTTACTCCCACTGATTAGACTATTTGCTTTTGTAATAGCATATGCTAGTGGTCACTCTATTCTCTCAAATTTGAATTTAAAAATGAATGTATTATTGTAAACATGTACAACATTTATTTGAAAAGAATACGAGCTGAGTTTCTTGTCAGTTCTTCTCGACTCGAAATCATTCCGAAATTACAGTAGACTTGACATATCATAGGAGTCTGTAGGAGACCTACATGATTAAGATATTTTAAATTTTGATTAGATTCCTTTCTTTTGACAAACATTTATTTGAGTATAGGCTAGTGGTCGGTACTCTCTAATTTAACTTAACAATGCATCTGTAATTTTGTAATCATATACAAGCTCATTTGAAAAGAATAAAAGCTGAGTTTTGTAATGTATATAAACATGGTTAAAAGAAGTGAAGTGCAGTCCACAAGGGAGTTGCTTAGCGCCTGCTGGCTCTTGCCGTATGGTATGCGCTCGCAACAAGCGAGCAGGCGTTGGAATGTTGCTTGTTTGTGGGTACATGGACATCACACTCTTCTTCCCTTCCTACTTACCCAAACACCTTCATAAACGAGTTAAGGAGTGCAAACGTCTTTCACTTATTTCGGTAGTCTTCCTTATGTGATTTACATAAGCCAGATTCTTGATAGTTCTTCTTAGCACGAAAACACTTCGAATCGTTGATTTGACATATCATAAGAGTCTGTTATAGAATGAAAAAAAAACTATTTTGATTTGATTTGATTTACGTAATTGAGCGTGACTTAGTTGCTAGTTAATATTGTAAATGTGAAAGTACATATATCTCCTTAGCTATATATTTGTTTATATCTATATTTAGGCCTTATTGTTTAGTCATTAAAAGTCCTTTTGCCACGTTATGACTAAATGACTGAACGAAACTTAATGAAATAAAATAAGAAGATGGTAACTTGAAGACAGCTAGATGCTATCTTTTGAGTAAAAAAATGAAGTCACTAACAATACACAACTCAATAATTGTAATAAAAATATTATTTCAGCTGCCCATTGTACTACTATAAACGGGGTTGCAGTACTGCCTGAAGTATTGAGTATTATATTTGGAAAGTACAACCTGATTGGAGGTGATACTGACACGCAAGAGCGAAAGGTATGAACTGTTCTGCTATCCTTTAGCGGTCTAACGGTAGGGCATACTTCCTTACTTGCTGATACTCTCGTATACAATCTTTTGTATCCATAAGCATTTCTGATTCTATTGGTCTGATTATTTGTCTGTGTGTTATGGATGTATTTACAAAACATGTTTACCGTGATTTACATTCTGACGGTCGGTGGGTTTTAAAAAGACACTAAAAAGCTTTATTTTTTCAAATTTTACATTATTATAATTCTACTATCCTGCAACTCCTGTCGGGGTTTGTCTCCAGGCACGTAGTTCTCTCTTATCTACTTACTATATATATGTTTATATATTATTCTAGACAGTATTTTAACGTACACATGACATACAGTATTACGTTTTACAATATTGAAGTATTAAATACTAATAAATAAGGACGAGATTTTTAGGTTAATAAATGGTTTATATAATATATACAAAAGGATTCATATTAATATTTCAGGCAATTTTAATTGTAACAATCGATATCCACCTTACTTATTTAATTCTAATTAGAATCTCAATTGATTCGACTTATAACTATACTAGCTTTTGCCCGCGACTTCGCTCGCGTTAATTTATCCCCTTAGGGGTGGGATCAAAATCCTTCCTTTGCCTACGTCATAGTAGTGCTTTATGCATGCAAAGTCTCAGCCCGATCGCTTTAAAATTGACAGAGTTTCATACAAACTATCATCCCCTATTTTATGCCCTTGGGGGTAGAATTAATCAAAATCCTTTCTTAGCGGATGCCTACGTCATAACATCTACCTGCATGCCAAATTTCAGCCCGATCCGTCCAGTGGTTTAGGCTGTGCGTTGATAGATCACTATGTCAGTCATCTTTGAGTTATATATATTTAGATTAACTTATTCGTGTTCGCGACTAAATCTAGAGTGTTCGTCCATCTACCGTCTGTGTTCTCCTACCTCTTGGATGCCGTTCTTTTGAGTCATCAACTGTTGTAAAGTACATACACTGTTGTAAGGGACATACTTTTGAAGAACAATCGCTGTATCCATGCCGATTGGTAACAAGTACGTTGTTGTACCTAGGGGGTTTGTACACGTAACATGTGGAAGCAAAGCAGTATGAAGGCTTAGTTCCTGCCTCTGACCACCAATATTGTCATCAGTATGGTCAATAATGTATCTATAATAATAACAATAATATCTCAGGACAATTCACACAACGTCATCTAATTCCAAGCTAAGCAGAGTGTTATGGGTACTAGACGCATTTTTTTTGTAAATAAATACATATTATAAATAGAAAACACCCAGACGGATACAAACAATCATACTCATGAATACAAATGTTGTGCCGTGCGAGGAATCGAACCCGCGACCGCGATAGTAAACCACTAGACCACCGAGGACTATGCACTATGATCATTAGTTTCTTTAGGCATTGCGGTCTACATAGGTTTAATTAGTTTGTTTTGTGTTTTCAGATACATGAAATAATAGTACATGCTGAATATAACCATAGAAGACTTCACAATGACATATCACTATTGAAACTGAAGAGCGAAGCTACATTCGATGACTACGTACAACCAGCTTGTATATGGCATGACAATGCTCACAAGAATTTACCAATCGATTCAATTTATGGCGCTGTAAGTTTTCCTTCAGAATCTCAAAAGAAAATTACCTTAATAATAATAATCTCAGGACAATTTACACACTGCCATCTAACCCATAAGTTGAGCTAGCTAAAGCTTCTGTTATCGGTACTAAACAACTGATACAAATACTTAGATTTTTTCTATAAATACTGATACAAACAATCCTAATCACATATATATAGAATACAAATGTTTGTGCCGTGCGAGGAATTGAACCCGCGACCGTTGTAAAAGTAGTCAGAAGTAAAGTGTTATGTTAAACTGCTAGACCACCGTCAGATTATTTTTAGCCTTCAGCCGCTTCGTAAGTCCTTCCGCTGCTTCGTAAGTCCTTCCGCCGCTTCATAAGTCCTTCCGCGGATTTGGAGTGCCATCTGCACTCGCCTATCGTCCGGTGCAGCTGTAAAGGACAGCTGCGGCCAACAGCATTAGAGTAGTCCGATAAACAAAATGTTATTCTCGTGTTTATTACATCCTACCTAATGGAAGCGTGTGTACTTAACCGAACTTAAATTCTAGTGCTGTAAAAATGGTGTGATTTTTTAAAATTGATTATATTGTTTGATATTTTTATGCCTATCAGCTGGCGTATCAGCCCATAGTATTAACTCTCCTTTGTTTGTAAAGTGTCCATCGTTATTGAATTGATAATATTTTATTAAATTTTTAGGTTGTAGGTTGGGGATTTGATCATACTGATAAATTATCAACAGAACTACGCCAAACTATGTTGCCAATGATCAGTGAAGCTAATTGCATCAAAAGCAACCCCAGCTTCTTCGGGAGACTATTGACAGAACAAAAGTTCTGTGCTGGTTATAGAAATGGTAAGTGTAAACACATATCTTTTAAATTTTCTGACAGTAATAATAAATGTTAGTATAATAGAAATAATATTTATAAAAAAAAAACCGGAACTAGTCACTATTGAATAGCCTTTTAGATTCTAATATATTAAATAAAGAACCGTAGACAATTAACACAACGCAATCTAGTCCCACGGTAAGCAGAGCTTGTGTTATAGGTCCTTGACAACTGATATAAATACTTAGACATGCATAGAAAACACCCAGACCGATACAAACAATCATACTCATGAATACAAATGTTCGAACCGTGCGAACCCGCGACCAACAGAAGTAAAGCCGTGTGATAATCCGCTAGACCACTGAGATCGGATATTAAAACGTCGGGTGCCTATACTATCATGCACCCGACATGATAGTACCCAACGTGATAGCACCGGGTGCAATGCGCTATATATTAAACTACCTTTTGCCCGCGGCTTCGCTTGCGTTAATTTATCCCCTTCGTGGTGGAATTTATCAAAATCCTTTCTTAGGGGATACGTCATAGTAGCTTTATGCATGCAAAGTCTCAGCTCGATCGGTATAAAATTGACAAAGTTTCATACAAACTTTCATCCCGTATTTTATCCCTTTGAGGGTAGAATTAATCAAAATCCTTTCTTAGCAGATGCCTACGTCATAACATCTACTTGCATGCCAAATTTCAGCCCGATCCGTCCAGTGGTTTGGGCTGTGTGTTGATAGATCACTGTGTCAGTCACCTTTGAGTTATATATATTTAAACTATCCGTCTTAAAATATCATGCCTCCATTTTGTTTTGCTGTTTCAGGTACCTCAGCATGTAACGGCGACAGCGGCGGTGGTTTTATGGTATTCGTACCCGACATAATTGGAGATAAATCTGCAAATGCTACAGGCTCTTGGTTTGTGCGAGGAATAGTATCATTTGCCGCATCTCGAAATGATGCGTCGATATGTGATAATACACAGTATACTATATTTATAGACGTTGATAAATACAGTGAATGGATTAAAAGTCATATGTCATAAAAAATGATTACATTAAATTACTGTAATAAAATTGGAAAGTTAATTATAGCAATACAGTACAAATTATACAAAATAACTCTATAAAATTAATAATATTATATATAAGCCTGTATGATTGGATATGAACTAAATTATATTCCCACATATTTAAACGTAATATAAATATAACGATATATCTAAATCTATAGTAATACTAGCTGTCCCGGCAAACGTTGTTTTGCCTTAAAATAAAAATAAAAAATTAGGTTGATGACTACCACTAACATTTAGATTGGATGAAAAATAGATGTTGGCGGATTCTCGGATTTTGTCTACTCAATACGCTCACAAAATTTCATGAGAATCGGTCAAACGTTTCGGAGGAGTATGGGAACGAAAACTGTTGACACGAGAATTTTATATATTATATAAGACAAGACTGCCTTTTGTTATATTACTTTTCCATGTTTGTGTTTTATTTTATATTATGTTTCTTCTATGTACATAATAAAGTTATTATTTTTATATTATATTATATTTTTATTATTATTATATTTTTCTGGAGTATCCGACACAGAATACATATCATCACTTTATCGCATTTATTTGTGATAGCGTAATATGTTTTTCTCTTCTATTCATCCTTGTTCGCAGTCATCTCGTTATTTACTCCCTTTCTTACCATATCATCTTTCACGCAGTCCATCTATCTCTTTTTCTGCCTTCTTCTGCCCTTCCCCCCGACACTGTATACATTTATGACTAATCAGTGATATAAGATAAGCGATAAGTGAGTATATGTTCATTAAATGTTAGACCTACATAAATATGCATTGTAAATAAATTGGCTTTTAAAAAAAAAGTAATTCAATTGAGTTTCTTGTCAGTTCTTCTGAATTGGATCTATATACTGAACTAGACGGTAGGGAAAAATTGTAATATAAAAATGTTGATGTTCATAAGCGGCTAAAATGTCCTACATGGATAATTTATTTTTCAATTTGAATATGTTTTTTTTCGGACTATTCTAATGCTTTTGGCCGCAGCTGGCCTTTACAGCTTCACCGGACGATAGGGGGCTAGTGCAGATGGCAGGCCAAACCCGCGGAAGGACTTATGGAGCGGCTGAAGTGAAGCTAAGTGTGTATACCATTATTCAACAGATAGGTGATCAGCATATCAGCCATAGTGGTTTATTATTAAAAACATCCCACAAATATTATTATTTTCTTTTAATTATAAAACTTATTATAAACTAATTACATATATCACATATTTACAATATCCATAAAAATGTGTATACAACATCCAATGAAACGTTTATAGAAATAGATTTATGGAATACCCCTATATACAAAAACCATCCTAAAGTACGTATGAAAATAATTTGAAGCGAAGCCCAACATTCAGTTATCATGCCTTAACTTATAATTATATAAGTAAATACTTATATTATATATACTTACTTACATTTACTAAGCAGGATTATATTTTAAGAAGCTACAATATCTCCAATTCACTGGTATATATAGTATAACCTCACTTTTTACAAATAAACCAATTTTTCAAATATAATTTATTCCAAATGTAACCGTTATACATTATATTTGAAAAATTGGTTTATTTGTAATAACAATAATAATGTCTGGAACCAAGATACAAGATACAAGTTGAGCTAGAACTTGTGTTATAGGTACTAGACAACTGATACAAATAGATAGATATACATTTTCTTCTTAAATACATATTATACATAGACAATAAAACACTAAGACTGATATAAACAATCATACTTATGAATACAAAATGTTTGTACCGTGCGACGAATCAAATCCGCGACCATCGGAGGTAAGACAGTCTGCTAAACCGCTAGACCACCGACGACCCGTCAATATGGTTACTTTGTAATGCTTTAGACGAATTTCCCTTGATGTTATATTAATTATAGTAATTGTCAAAATTATAAAAATTTAATAAGATATTTTAAGATTAACATAATGAAGAATTCAGCAAAAAAATATCATTATATCTTCAACTACAGTAGTTAACTATAGTCTGTCAAGTTTACTATTAGTTTATTCACCTTTACATAGTAATATAAAATTGGCTTTCAATTTTATTAATTTACAGTTATACCGATCAGTCATTGAAAAATAAATTTGCATATTCTAGAATATTTTCTACTTAAATACGAGGTGTATGATAGTTTATTGTAAAATACAATATTTACTTTATGTCATGAATTCTATAAGCGTAATACTATTTTTTTGCAATAAAATATAACGATATATTTGGGTGCATGAACTCTGAGTATTTATAGGTATTAAAGCTACATATTTAGACGTATTTAAATAGTTAATCTGATATTAAAAATATTTCTTTATACATCATTTTATATAAATACAAACATTATTATAAAAAATATATAATATTTTACTCTCTTATATCATAATTGGAAAAAAGCTAAATTTCAGAGATTGGCTTTAAAAAAACTAATCTGTGTGCCTGCATTATCTACATCTCATCATTCATTTAAACACATAAAAAGTTTAATTAAAATCGGTACAGTGATCAGCATGCGTTCACAGACATATACAGAAACAGAATAAATAAATTATACATATAAATATTTCATATAAAATATATACTTACGTATTGAATAAACAATATAAAAAATAAATCTTTATTTATATTTATTACTAAAGAATTTTTCAGAATTAAGGGGGCAAATATACTGAAGTATAAACAATATAAAAAAATAAAAATAATTCTCTATTCATATATATTACTAAAATGTGTTTAAAATTAAAAACGCAATTATAGTGAGTCATTTACCTGCATTCTAAAGGTATTAAATGCAACCCTCAACCGCATTCTACTGGAATACAAGTAAATTTTATTAATACGAGTATAAATTAACAAAGTTTAGTATTTATCTTAGCGCCAGATCCTATTAGGCACATTGATTTTGGAATTAAAAGTATAATCACATTTAAAATTAGTCTTGTTGCTAAGTAACAGTTATGTCTTACTTACAACTGTGATGAAACCAGCATTAAATTATATTTACTGCTTATTATATCCACTGAATATCCATCAGAGCCATTATGGGTTAGGTAAAGTTAAATATCTCTCCTTATATAGAGCACTGCTATTGCATAAATTCTGTGTCCAAAAGTTTTCTATTTGAATTAGCTATACGAAATATAATATTGAATTTTAAAAGACATATTACTTACATATTCTATGTACTATTATCCATCATAAAAGTCGGATATTTCACCAAAATTGGAGCATTATTGTAAGTAAAGACAATATTTTCATGTAAATGCTTGTGCACTGCATCCAATTCTAAGACGAGAATAGAATCCTACCGATCGCCGACCCCTGGTATTAAATTTGAAATTTTGTTTTCCAAAGCCGAGAATATTTCCAATTCCTAGAATTATTTTCGTTAGGTTCAGCCGTAATATGAATTTGAGGTAGTCTATCTTCTGAAACAATATCAGGTTTCGATAAGGTATAATTCAGAATATTCTAGATTTCCTTGGATGCATTGTAAACCTATACATCGTAGATGCCAAGTCTTGTTGAACATCAAAGCCGCTCGTATAAACAATCCTTTGGTTACAAATTAAGTCCGAATATTCGAATGCGGGTAATCGACTACCCTTCTGCTATATACGATAACGCTGCTGCTACATTACGAAGTAAATTCGCTAACAATTTTGTTATAAAACCATTTAAAATTCAAGTTTTCGAATATATAGAACATATATAATTTCATAGTTATATATATTGCAAAGTTCCATGGCAACTACAAGTTATGGTGCATAAGTAATCGCCAACCTGTTGGTTTTAATCGATTTCAAATGAGAATTTTAGCAAATACACTTAGGTACGTTATATAATCAAACTCATGTTACATACTTCACACAGTATACCTCAATAACATAGATAAAACTACATCGTTTGTACTTAGAGTACAGTATAATAAATCAGATAAATCATAATTTATAATTAGAATTCTAATGCCGGCCACACATTACATTTTCCGCTAGAATCCCTGATACGATCAACCGAATCGTAATAAAAACGTACGGTTTTCAACCTAATGTCTGGCCAGGTTAATACTGATTACAGATTATATATGAGTTGAAACTGTCGATACAGATACAGTAGAAATACCAGGCTTGACATGATTGGCGTTGTTGTCTTCTTGTTCTTTCCTTGGTCTTCTCTTGGGTCCTAGAAGGATTTTCTGCAGTTGGCAAGCTGGGGCCTCAACAAAGAGATGGAGAGGTAGAGCGCAAAGGTAGGTCGTGCAAACAATTCCAGCGAAGAGCATAATCTAAAAGACAGTAGGCAGTTTAAATAAAAATAGTGTAAACCAATACGGGAAGCAAAAATAATTTTTACGATAATTTGTTGAATGTATACAAAAAAAAAAAAAACAGTTTAAATGCATATATAGATTGCTAATAAATATAGAAAGTAAGATATGTATATAATTGGTAAAAGCAAAAAAAAATCATGAAAATTTTGAACAATATTACTTCCTAAATATAAAATTCTAATTGCTACATAATATGGCCCAATATAAATTTACAACCAAAGTGACAAAATAAAAGGTATTCATTAGTAAATGCATTTGATATTGATAAAAATATATTCTTGATTCTAAATATAGTGAATGAACCAAGTACTTGATGATATTAATATACAAGATAAATAAATATGATGGTTAAAGTCATAATCATGAATTTGAACAAATTAAAAAATAAAACATATACTACTGCAAACAATTAATTTTAAAACTAAAACATATACTCACAGTTAATTTTAGATAGCAATGATACCCGATCATATATGGAAACAATATTGTGTGAAGAAAAGCGTATACTCACAGCTGTATAGTCTGTAGCATAGAATGAACGTCTCATCTGACCACCATAAGTTCTCAATATGGTGGCATGAAGCAACATAGCACAATATGACAGTCTACCGAGAGGCTGTAACGGTCCCCATTCTGTAGCACTCACGTAGACTTCTGCATAACGAAAAGAAAAATGCTTGTTTAAGAGAGCACTAGTTCTTGATCGAAAATTAAACTTTATTAATTGATATTATAAAGTTAATTTTTCAAGTCTCATTGTATATCTCGGTAAGGTTACCAGGTTATATAATGGCAAACAAATATAAATAGTAAAACACTATTATTTTCGCATACATAAGAAAGAAGAAGTTTCAGTATGTTGCTGTCCTTGACTGATGACTTATTTGTGCGATAACCATAAATTGATCTCATGTAAAACTACTAGCAGAATTAATTAGATTTGGTCAATTTAAAAAATAATCAAATATTAAATATCAAAATAGTAAAAAACTAACTTGATTAAATGGAAGATATGTCCTCATAAAGGACAGCATCCCAGGTTTATTTTAGTATGATAGCACTGATTCGAATAATAGAAGAAAAATTTTAATTACTAGCAGAATAGAACTCCATGAGCTTATTGACTTTAATCTAATTAATATACTGATTTAAAATATCAAAAATTCAATAAAAAAATACTTACTGATACATCTGTAGAAGCATCCAACAATAAACACGCACATAGCCAGAGCGAAGAAGTTCTGGTTTAAAGCATTGAAAACGGCAGCTTCGAAGGTGGAAGCAATACGGTGGTGTAGATCCCAACCCATCAACACTGTTCCCAAGGCTATGGGCACTGATATTAAGGTCAATAGTCTGTAAAGCTGGAAATTAATGTACTCGGATTAATAAAAACAAATATTGCATCGGTATGTTAATAATTTCAAAATCTATAGAACGGATTTTCATGCGGTTTTCATCTGTTAACAGTGTAATTTACGAGGAAGTCTTTGGTGTATAATTCATTAAGGTTTAATGTAAATTGGTTGAAATATCGATGCGAAGTCGCGGCGAGCCGCTAATTAAAAACATTAAGTTCTGTGTCTCATTGCTAAGACTGGACATTATTATTCTTTAGAAGTAATATATAATGAAACGGCACTGAATATTTGTGATCTCACACATGCTAATGGCAAAATTAAACAAAATAATACAAATCTATTAAGTATTGAAATGAATTTCCGCAAAATAATGCCTAGTTCGATAGAATATAACTTAATAAACGTCAGAATATTCCATTGATATCCGTGTTTACTATAATGCATTTCCGTTCCAGTGGACTAAACTATGATGCATCCATACTCTGTAATTTCATTGTCGTAGGATGAGATGAGAGAGAAGAAATTATAGAATATAGAGGAGGCAAAAAGGTTACATTAACCACAATTTTGCATCCAAACATATTTTGCAAGTATTAAGCATGTAAAAATAGATAACATGCTTAATTACATTGTCTGTTCTTTTAAGAACTTACTCGAGATTCCGCCAAATTCCATTTCTCAGTCTGTGCTCTGTGATAGAAGTATGCTGTGAGGACTCCAAGATGGTAGCCTGTCCAATTGCCTTGTGCTGACACGTACGCGTGGTAAAATGTGTCATTGTATCCAAAAATATTTCTGATTGATCTGTAAAATAAAAATCAATAAACTCCACTGCTTTAGGGGGATCTATTACTTGCACTATTTTATTTATTAAATCCTTTACTTCTTCATCTAATTTTTCTACAATATCATTGGCAATCACATCTTAAGATTCCTCAACTGTTACCAATAAATCAGGTGCATATCTTGGCTTATATTTCTCATCTTTAGCTAAATTACTATTATTCTTTGGCCAAGCCTCAGTTTAACAGTTTATCATAATTTGAATATCTAATATTTTATTATTATTTCTATTAGCTTGTTTTTGTTATGGTTAACCCTCAAAAATGTGACTAGTGTAATCGTATATACATATGATACATCACAAGAGGGTCACCTAAACTTTTCAGTAAGGGATAATTAAATAATAGGCTATCGATTTGAAGGGCTTATTACATGTAGTTTATGATGATAACTTACTTTACTAGTGATTTTATTTTTGTTATGATTAAGTCTTATAAATATGATATATATGTTACTCAACAAGACACTCACCCAACCTTTTTAGGAAGGGACAGTTAAATGATAGGATATCGATTTAAAGGACTTAGTAATAATATGTATATAATATATTCTTTGACTATAACTTACTCTGGGAATATGCTGACTCTGATAGGAAGTAAATCCATGAAGTAGCTCTGCAAAAACGGTATCAAAAGACTGATGACCATCACGACGCTCAGCACCGGGACTCCACTCCTTGGCCACCTCCAGATGATAAGCATCATCACTAATGTGATGAGGAACAATTGGGTATCAGTTCCAAGGTACCTGGACAGTTTAATTATGATTTAACTATTACACATCTTCATTACAATAACTCATATTGTTTGCATCTCCCATTGTTATGTTCCGGTTTAATAATAATAATAATAATCTTATTCAACATCATAGTATAAAGTAAAAATATAAAAAACTTAAAAAATAATATTTCGCTATGTGCTGAAAGGGCCTGCACTCAGCTGGTGCCGCAGCTTGCTACTGCAGCGCTGATTTTCAGTGGAGTCACTCGAAAAAAGAAATAGCTTTCTTGATGATGGTATTATTGACTTTAAATATATAAAATGAAGATTTCTTTAAGTAATTATCATCTGCTTCTTCCTTATCCCATTTATTTGTGGTCGGCGTAATATGTTTTCTCTTCCATTCATCTCTGTTCGCAGTCATCCCGTTATTTACAGCCTTTCTTACCATATCATCTTTCACACAGTCCATCTATCTCAATCAAATTAATCCATTCATCCAAAAATTCATCCAATCCATCCAAAAATTACTTATATGTACATGATTACAAAGAAAAGGCTCAGACCAATACAAACAATCATACTCATGAATACAAATGTTTGTACATTCATTCATATCTTTCGTACCTGTTCGCAGTCATCTCGTAATTTACAGCCTTTCTTACCATATCATCTTTCACACAGTCCATTCTCTTTTTCGGTCTTCATCTGTCCTTATAGCCATCCACATGTATCCATGAGTATGATTATTTCTATTGGTCTGAATATTTTCTATGTACATAAAAATATTTAAGTAATTTTAATAGTTGTCTGGTACCTATAACACAAGCTCTGCTGCTTTCTTTAAGTTATAGTGGTAATTTAATGTACTACTGTCACATTGGCCAGTATTTCCGTATAGTCATCGTAGATATTAAGTATATGTATGTATATGTATGTTTATATTTTATTATATATATTTATGTACAAATGTATATGTGTATATTTATGTTCATTAAGTGCACCACCTACCCCTTTATTATCTTAATGTTACTTTCTCTACTGGTAGTCTGGAAGAGATTGCTTAGCGATAAGACCGCCTTTTGTATCAGTTTATGTATTATATCATTTTGTGTTTTTTCTTTGTCTGGTGCAATAAAGAGTTTAAATAAATAAAATATTGCAAATAAAGAACAGTATAATAAAATGTTGACTCGAACTTAATATAAATAAACGCACAGCCTACCTAATAAATTGCAACTATCTCGTACAAACAAATACACGAATCACCCACGGTAAGCCTCAGGCCATTCCGAAGGACTAAGATGTTATGCTTCCTTACTCAAAACTTCTTAATAGAATAGAATAGAAAATCATTTATTCAAATATTTTTTTTTAAATCTACCGCTTATTAATATATTCGTGACTAACTACTCGCCCCGGCTTCGCACGGGTGTACATGTATTATATATATATATAAACCTTTCTTTTGGATCGCTCTATCTATTAAAAAAACTGCTTCAAAATCCGTTGCGTAGTTTTAAAGATGTAAGCATACATAGGACAGACAGACAGCAACAGCGACTTTGTTTTATACTATGTAATGATATTGGATTGGAATATTTTAGTGTTTCAAATAAAACCCTCATAATATGAGTTGTCTACAAAACATTTACATAAAAAAACCTCAGATGTTGTTACATTGAATAATAGTTTTATTAATTCAACAAAAATCCATAATGCCCAATTTACACTCAGCCCGAGTGGGCAGGGAAGTGAGCAGCGCGAGAGTGTAAACACGAGTGGAAACACTTCCGATGCCATTGGCGCTGCCACTCGCGCTGCCCGGCGCTCCCTCGATTGTCGGTTTTTCGTGCGCGAATCAAAGGACTGGCAGCGCGAGTGTCAGCGTATTTTTACATTCAGCCCTCTCGCCCTGTCGCCCGGCAATATTACCGGCAGCGCGAGTGGCAGGAGAAGCGGCTGAATGTAAACGTACTATAAAATTAGAAAATAATGCGCATATGACTTAAAATAATATTAATAAGTGAGCTGACGTAATATAAATACATATTAAACTTAATTGTTTGTCTATGATTACATTAAAGTACGGATTAATAATATTTACTTAATTCTTGTGTAAATATTTTTCATACATAGAACCCACTAATATAATTCCGGATACCTTTTACGATTTCATCAATAACACTAATTATATATACTACTAGCTGTTACCGCGACTGCGTCCACGTGGAATTTAACTTTATTTTTCTAAAATAAAACTAGACTAAGTTACTCCTTATTACATCAGCTACTTGCCAAAAGAAGTCCCGTCAAAATTGGTCCAGCCATTTCAGAGATTAGCCAGAACAAACAGACAAATTGACAGACAAAAATTGTAAAAAATGATATTTTGATCTATGTACCGTAATTATATTCATACGCATGTAGTAAGAAACGGTTATTTCAATATTACAAACTGACACTCCAAATTTTATTTATATGTATAGACTAGCTATGACCGCGACTCCGTCCGCGTCGAATAAAGAATATATATTTAGTTTATATCCCAATAAAGTTTCAAAGTTCTACTTTAAAATGACGATGCTTTCATACAACCCTTCATTTCCGCTTTCAACCCCTTACAATCATTTTTTCGCACCAAAAAGTAGCCTATGTTCTTTCTCAGGGTCTAGACTATCTGTGTACCAAATTTCATTTAAATCGGTTCAGTATTTTGGCGTGAAAGCGAGACAGACCGACAAACTAGAATATAGTATTTGGACTAGTTGGCTTTTTATAAATTGTCCTGTGGTATTGTTATAGGGTATTACGGCTAGCAACGGCAGTGAAATAGGGTAATATAAATAAAATTACTTACCAAACTTACAGTGATGTATTTAGTGGTAGCGTATATGACACAATGTAGCAAAACAATATAATAAAAAATATATGGTTTAAAAATAGAAATATCTATAAAAAGAGGTCTTCGCCAACATAGGGGAGGATATTATTATTCAAGAGAAAGGTTTATATCTATAATATACGTATAAACCGTGTGATACCGGGGCGGCAAACTAGTAATAATAATAATGGTATTCATCTCAAGATAATGCACACAGCGCCATCTAGACCCAAGTTAAGCTAGCTAAAGCTTGTGTTATGGATACTAGATAACTGATACATATACATAGATTGTTTTTATAACTGCATACATATTGTACATAGAAAATACCCAGACCAATACAAACAATCATGATCATGAATACAAATGTTTGTGCAGTGCGAGAAATCGAACCCGCGACCATCGGTGTGTTAAACCGCTAGACCCCGAGGCCGTCAATATAACTAGTATATTTATATGTATATATATAATCCAGTACGCAACATGAAATTAAAAATTGCTTAATACTGTTGAGAATACACATACAAAAGAAAACCGGAAACAAATTTGTGTCAATGAAAGATTGTCTATAGGGTTGTCAAAATAAAAAAAAAACTATTCTATTTTATTTCCCTTAAATTTAGTTCGATGAATTATATTGTGATTAATTAAATTTGATTTAAGATTTAATGTTAGATGGATATCTTTAACTTAGATGACCCATTGATAGTTTTTCTTGTATATGTTCTATGTACGGAAAGCGAACAGTTACTTTTTTACTACACATACAGATATATGTCTATACTTATATGTATATATAAGTTTATTTGAATAAATGATTTTCTATTCTATTTGAATTAATATTTTGAGTAAAACTGAACACTATTATTTATTTTATTTTAACCAGTTGGTTATATATTCAATATATTTTCTATTTGAGTATTAAATTGAATTAGTGCTAACTGGTGGTTTGTATTCACACACTTAAACTTAAAAATGTAAAGTAATAATAAAATTATTTAAATGAGCAACACACAAGTTTCTTGCTCGTTCTTCTTATGATTAAACAGCTTTCCTAATGAGCGGTAGATTAAAAAAATGTAATGACTATTCAAAAGTGCTTCAATGTAAGTTTATTTGAATAAATGATTTTCTATTCTATTCTATAAATAAATTGAAGTGTCTGTTTGTAATATTGAAATAAACGTGTTAAAAAAGCCGTATGAATATAAATACGGTACATACACCAAAATATTTTTTTACAATTTTTGTCTGTCTGTCGGTCTGTTTGTCCTGGCTAATCTCTAAAATGTAGCTGAATACATCAGCTACGTAATAAGTAACTTAGGCTACTTTTAGTTTAGAAAAATTATCTAATTATATTTTTTGTAATTTAACAACGCGGACGAAGTCGCTGGTACAGCTAGTATATAATAAAAAAGTATGAAAAGTACATGTAAAATTCCATCAAAATCTGACAAAACGTTTCGGAGTAAAATGCCAACTATATTTACTATATATTACATTTTGCTCACTAAATCCTAGTGACAACCCTAATGTCAACATAGAAACAAATGCAACTGCAATCATTGCTTGCAATAGCTATGAAATTGTAAGTTTGCGAAGTGAATCCGTTGTTAACAGGTTATTGACCTTTACAGTTGGACGGTAGGAAAAAAATTACTATATAAAAAAACTAACGTTCATAAGCGGCTAAAATGTCCTACATGAGTAAATGATTTTTGAATTTGTAAATTTAATTTATGTATTCTGAGTATAGTATGATGAGTCTTTTTATATTTTGTTCATGTTTTTTATCTTCTTTTGTATGGAAAATTATTGTATTCTGTCTATATTATACTATATTATGTATGATTTTGAATAAGGTATATAATATATACATAATATATGATGTCCATCTGTGTATACATATATATTATGTTAATAATTGTCACAGAAGTTATATAAACAGTGTTTTTGTAAATTTTTATATTATAAACACAAAATAAACAGTTTATTCCATTACATTATATGTTTTTTCTTTTATTATTCTGTTTAAATTATCATATAGTATAAAACAAGTCGCTATCGCTGTCTGTCCGTCACTATGTATACTTAAATCATTAAAACTACGCAACGGATTTTGATTTTCGCAAGCGGTTTTTTTTAGATATAGTGATTCAAGAGGAAGGTTTATATGTATAATACATGTACACCCGGGCGAAGCCGGGGCGAGTAGCTAGTATGTTATATAATAACATTCCTCTTCTAAATTACGCTAACATATGTACACTTTCAAGGTTTTTCTCTCTCATAAAATAATTAATTACGATGGTGTTTGATTTTAAAACGTTGATTGCAAAAAGAACGCTTTCGCAGTCGGTTACACAAATACGGATTGCAAGTAAACCAAGGTGACCATATACTATAGATGTATGGTCACGATTACAATATTTGCGATAAGCAAATTCACGTCCATATGTCATTAAGCACGGAGGAATATGTGTATTGTTTACACAAATTTCACCTTAACATGCATACATATATATTTATATATATATATATATGTTTATAACTAAAGACTTCGCTAATTTTTATACATTTTTTACGGAAGATATGTTTTATTTTTAAACCAGCTACTCGCCCCGGCTTCGCCCGGGTGTACATGTATTATATATACCTTCCTCTAGAATCATTCTATCTATTAAATTACATCGCTTCAAAATCCGTTGCGTAGTTTTAAAGATTTAAGCATATATAGGGACGGACAGTCAGCGACAGCGACTTTATTTTATACTATGTAATGACATAGCAACCTACCCCGACTTGGTGACTTAATTAATTCATTCGTTCATTCATTCATTCATTGTATTGTAAGCTAATAAATAAATAAATAGTTCGTAGTAGTAATAGACGAGCTATCATTTTTTTTATACTGTTACATTAAAAAAATGAATATTACTCTATATATACTTACCAAACCTGGGATGAATAGAAGAGTAAAACATATTACCCCAAATCAATTAGATAAGGAAGAAGCAGATGATGATGATATATTACCCTCCGATCGATCCCCCGTCCAATTCAAACGAGGATCGAAATTACGACGGCCTGAGCCGAGGTTCGAACCCCTAGTGGTGCCCTCAGACTAAAGTCGTATCCGTCAGGCAGGAGTTGGCCTTCAGCCGCTCCATAAGTCCTTCCGCGGGTTTGGAGTGCCATCTGCACTCGCCCCATAACGTCCGGTAAAGCTGTAAAGGCCAGCTACGGCCAACAGCATTAGAGTAGTCCGAAAAAAAATATTATGATATACATACCAAGCCTGTGGCAGGCACAGATGCTCGAAAGGGAACAAGTTTGGCATCAGAATCACTAATTGCCACCAGTTGCTTCGGCACATGTCACGTTCACGTTTCACCACGGCGTCCCACATGGGTCCAGACCCTAAGTGTGGGACCCAGGTCATAGCAAGACCCATTACGACTAGAACTGCAGGGATTAATCTGAAAGTAAGAGAAAAAAACATATTTTTACTATTGTTTATTAGTGTAGATATATCTCTACTAGCTCACCCGCGGATCTTCGTATGCGATTAATTTTCCCACTTTTTGTAATGTTTTTCATTGCAGCCTCGCTCCTATTGGTCGTAGCGTAATGTTATATAGCTTAAAGCCTTCCTCGACTAATAAAAACAAAAATATTTTTGTCAATTCGAATCAGTAGTTCCAAAGATTAGCGCGTTCAAACAAACAAACTTTTCAACTTTATAATATGTATATTAAAGTATAGATTGAATGACAAGATTTGGGATTAATGAATCGTACATAGCTTATAAAGAAATTATTATGATGATTCTTTATACATTGGATAGTGTGTACTTTAAAGGTTTGTAAGGTACTCGAAATAATTTCAGGGATTTGCAAATTCTGTCAAATGGAAGAAGTAACGTCACACATCCTATGTGGTTGTAACCTACTCATGAATCTCCTTTGGAAAGTACACACTATCGTGAGGAGATAAAAACCATAATTCCTAAGAATAAATCATCCTTTAAGTCTTGTCCCTGACGGGCCTGACGGGCAGCGCACTCTAATAAAGGGGTGAACATAATAGATCTATGTAGCTCACAGTGCTACGTATAAAATACCGTAAGTAATATCACAAACCTCTTAATGAAAAAAAAGTACTTGAAATAGTAAATAAAGAACATAAAATATCAGAATAACTGAAAAACTTATGGATAATAAATTTTTTTTCAACCATTATACATTGTAATTACACTTTAAATGATAAAAAAGAATCATCAAAACTGGAAAGAACGCATAATTATTTAACAGAATATCCTCCATATGGAGTTATCAAGAATATTGATATTAAAGAATGTTATATTAACTAAAACCTCCACTTCTTAATAAAGTACTGTACGCAATATATAAAATAATAAAAACTAACATTACTAAATATTTAATTAGTAAGTCTAAGACATTTTATTGTTGAGAGATATTTATAATAATGTTACAATTCAATTACAGAAATCTTAATTATACAAAAATAATTTAAAAAAAAGATAGGTAATTATTTTTTTATGGAATTTGTTGTAATTTTGAGTAACCATGGGTAAATTCTTTCTTTTCTGTGGTATTTTTTTTTATTGGGTTGTTTGGGCTATTGTCAGATGTTTGTAGCACCTGCAGCACTGCGACCTACATAGATCTATTGTGCTCGCCCTTTTTCAAAGTTCGCTACCTAGACCCGTCAGGGACAAGAATTGAAGGATATTCTTAGGAGCGATGGTTTTTATCTCCTCGGGAAAGAGTGTAAACTTTCCAAAAGAGATATTTCGTTTATGCATGAGTGGGCTACAACCACATAGGATGTGAAGCGGCGTTTCCTCTTCAGTTTGGCAGAATCTGCAGATCTTTCTGTGGTAAGGAAGAAGATTATATAGACAATGATGATTTAAACAGTTGTATTGAAATTGATGATACTTTTGCTATAATGTTACGTTCTTTTTGAAACTTTATAGAATAGAACAGAATAGAAAAAGTCTCTCTTCGTACCTTACCTATCTATACATCTATACATATAAATAAAATTGGAGTGTCTGTTTGTAATATTGAAATAACCGTTTTTTACTACATGCATATGAATATATGTAAATACGGAAATAACAATATTTACAATTTTTGTCTGTCTGTCTGTTCCGGCTAATCTCTGAAATGGCTGGACCGATTTTGACGGAACTTTTATTGGCAGGTAGCTGATGTAATAAGGAGTAACTTAGGCTATATTTATTTTAGAAAAATAAAGTTAAATTCCACGCGAACGAAATCGCGGATACAGCTACTACACTATAAAAAAACACGTTACCACTTACCATCAGGTGGGCCGTCAATTTATTTGCCAGTCCAGTTAGATAAAAAAAGCGTACAAAAGAAGTAAGAAAATCTAAATTTCTTACCTGACCCATCTATTTATCAAAGCCATAGGTACAGTCTTCAGTGTGAACGGATGAGTTTCAGCATACACGAGCATCTTGTAAGCCATCAGGAAACCGCCCATCACGAAGAATATTTGCACTATGACGCGGGCGTTGAAGAGGAGGGCTTTGAAGAAGTCGTCATAAGACTGAAAAGAACGCATACTCGTGAACGCTGCTGGTTGTATATAAGATTGTTTTGTGCGCTCTTCCTTATACAAGTAGCCATTATCATAAAAAAATTAACAATAAGGTACATTACCTTAATAATTTATTACATACATTGACATGTCGTTATAGTGACGTTTTTACATTTTTTGACACTAATAATTTTATTAGTGATTTTTATTTGACAAAAGATACAATGTATCTTTCTAAATCTTCTAAGAATAAAATAGCCACTTTAGTGGCTTATAATATTGACTTCATGAACAGTTTACATGGACTGCTCGATTCGCATTACTTTATTTATTTATTCATAACAATAATTATTGTGTCGAATTTCAAAATACAAAATTATATTTAAATCTAAAATAACAATATCAAAATAATAATAAAATCAATAATAGTAATACCAATCATTAAGGTACAGTAATTTAATTTCCAAATTGAGGTACAGTCATTCATCAAAAAATTCGTCAACGGAGTAAAAGTATTTTTTTAATAAACATTTATTAAGTTTAATTTTGAAATTGTTTTTATAAATAGCATCTTTTAAATCAATAGGCAATGTATTAAATAGTTTTACAGACTATAACGTGCACTGTGTTTAACAACCTCTGATCTAGGTACTATAGGTTACGTTTGGGTACCCCAGTTTTACCTATTTGGTTTATAAGATGTGTTTCGATTGAATGTTGAGAGATGGCAGTGAAGTTACGGGATATAAAAAATATATCTCCGGAATGGCAACGCATGAGACGGTATGAGTCTCATGACAGTGTGATATCCGTGTTGCTATTCGTTAGCAGTCATATTGTTTGCCATTCAAGTTACATAAAATAATAATAATAATATTAATCTCAGGACAATTCACACAACGCCATCTAGACACAAGTTAAGCTAGCTAAAGCTTATTCTGCATGACGCACCTACTTAAACTTTTATTGTATTTTTTATATATATTTAAAATCCATTTTCTATTGTTCTATTGTTTGTCACGTTTGAAATATATGTCTTTTACCATCAGCGACCGTAGTTTCTCTTGTAACTAAAATTAAAATATATTAAAAATACAGTCCTTAGAAAGCTCAGTCATTAAAACTTATGTTATGGGTACTAGACAACTGATATAAATACATGGATGCATTTATTTTGTAAATAAATACCTATTATACATAGAAAACACCCAGACCGATACAAACAATCATCATCATACTCATGAATACAAATGTTTGTACCGTACGAGGAATCGAACCCGCGACCATCGGATAGTAAAGCGGTATACTAAACAATTAGACCACCGAGGCTGTCAATAAACAATCATGCTTATGAAAACAAATATTTATATTACGAAAATCGAATCCACTAATCGTGTGCTGAACCGCTAAACCAATGAGGTTAGTAATATCAAATATACAGTGTGTTTAAATTTTAATGCGACGTAATAAATTCATAACTCAGATAAGTTGGGAGTGAATAATGAAGGGAGGAGTGATTTTATCGTTTTTGCAAAATTGAGGATGTTGGAGAGCTCAGAATTCAAAATAAACCTTGAATACTGATTAGGGAATTGTAAATTTGATATTATTGAGTTTGTATTTTATACTATAACCAGTTGTGGCCGCGGTATCACCCGCATGGAAATCATATCTGCTTTTCTATACCATAATATACATATACTGTTATATGTATATGTTAACATACAAACATTTTTTCAATCACTGTATCTATGGCTAAAAACTGCATTAAAATCCATTGCGTCAAAGCGAACATACAGCTTTTTTTTGGACGCTAGTGCTCTTGGCCGCGTGGCCTTTACAGCTTCACTGGACGATAAGATGCGAGTGCAGATAGCACCCGCGGAAGAACTTATGGAGCGGCTGAAGACCAACTCCCGCCTGACGGATACGACTTTAGTCTGAGGACACCGCTACGAGTTCGAACTACGGCTCAGGCCGTTGTAATTTCGATCCCCGTTTGTATTGGATAGGGGATAGATCGGAGAGGAGAACAGACAACGAAAGCGACTTTATTTTTTATTATATAAACATGGCAGTGACCAAGTTTTGTTCCGGGATATTCATTATTTTATCTAATTTCCGGGAGACGACGTGACTACGTCCCATGTTCTACATAATTCCATATAATGTCTTTTGAATACAAATTAGCAACTAACACAAATTCATCAGAATCAAAATATTAAATGCACAATCAATCGAGTAAATAATTAATCTAAATATATATAACTCAAAGGTGACTGACTGACATAGTGATCTATCAATGCACAGCCCAAACCACTGGACGGATCGGGCTGAAATTTGGCATGCAGGTAGATGTTATAACGTATGCATCCGCTAAGAAAGGATTTTGATTAACTCTACCCCCAAAGTGATAAAATAGGGGATGAAAGTTTATATGAAACTTTGTCAATTTTAAATCGATCGGGCTGAGACTTTGCATGCATAAAGCTACTATGACGTAGGCATTCTCTAAGAAGGATGGAATTTGATAAATTCCTAGGAAGCAGGAAGGATTTTGATAAATTCCACCCCTAAGGGGATAACTTAACGCGAGCGAAGCCGCGGGCAAAAGCTACTTAAACTAAACAGCTATTAAAAGCTGGCGCTGTCTGTGCGCTTAGATCTTTTAAATTACACAAGGGTTTTAATGAAATTTTAGCAATGCATAGAGTGATTCAAGAGATGGTTTCATACATATGTATATAATACATATGACGGCCTCGGTGACCGTCTAGCGGTTGACCACACCGCCTTATTTCCGATGGTCGCAAGTTCGATTTCTCGCACGGCACAAACATTTATATTCAGGAGTATTTGGTATTCGGTCTGGGTTTTTTACTATGTGTAAAATATGTATGTATTTACGAAAACATATATATCTATGTATTTGTATCAGTTATCTAGTACCCATGACACAAGCTTTAGCTAGCTTAACTTGGGACTAGATGGCGCTGTGTGAATTGTTCTGAGATTATTTTTATTACTGACATAATACTGCAGATTGATATCATTGTCGTTCTTTTACCACGAGATAGATAAAAGTGTAAACTTTTGTAACAAATATAAAAAATAATATTGACTAAATATGGACTCGGCAGGTTTGTTGGGACTTTCAATACTTCTTTTTATAAATTTACTAGCTGTCCCGGCAAAATTAATAACGCTATAAAAAATAGGTGTTGACGATAGAAGGCTGAAAACTTAGGATTGTAAGTATTTTTGTATGTTGTATCATAAAAAAATGAAAACAAAAAATTTTCTCTAAAAAAAAAAAAAATTTTGGGGTGGACTACCCCTAACATTTAGGGGGATGAAAAATAGATGTTGGCCAATTCCAGACCTACTCAATACGCTCACAAAATTTCATGAGAATCGGTCAAGCCGTTTCGGAGGAGTATGGGAACGAAAACTGTGACACGAGAATTTTATATATAAGATTTATTACGCTTGTGTTTTGTTTATTAACCTCACGACAAATATACGTCATACAGGAAAGATTGTGTGAGTTTTTATTTTCAGCACTAAAGACAGCCTGTGCCAGCTGAATAATGTTTTATTAATTATATCGACGTTATTTATTTATTTATATAACATCAATGCACAAAATACCAAGGTAAAAGTACATATGGCGGACTTAACGCCTTACGGGATTTTCTACCAGTCAACCACAGGCTGTGCAGAGAAACTGTAGGCGGTGCAAATGTAATCAATAAGAAAAATTATACCTCTGTCATAACTTATATATATTTACTAAAAGTACATGTAAACATACATATACAAATACACACAATATATATAAAGCTATAGATAAATATTAATAAAATACATACCTAAATATGGTATATATACACATTATAGCAAGAGCAGATAGAATGTGACAAAAAAAACAAATTCTGGTATAACGTAGAAAAGATGTATAAATAAATAAATAATGAGTCACACAAAAAGAAAAAAATCTATTCTACATAATAGAGAAGGTACATGCGGGTTATCAAAATATAATCTGCAACTGGATGAAATAGGTGATAAAAATTTCTTAAGACAACGTCTTCGGTAAAAGCTAATTTAATTACCTATAGTTAAATTATAATTGATTTTTTTCTTAGTGTGACAGAATTCTAGAAATATAATCTAAAATTATTTAAAAATTAATTACCGCTAAGGAAAAGCCAATTTCATAAAGAAGTGATGATTGTTCACCCCTAACATTTTTTAAAAAAATATATATATATTTTTTTATAATGTGGCATTAAAAATACTTACAACCCTAAATTTTCACCCTTCTATCATCAACCGCTAATCTTTAATAGTGATTTTAATATATATTGCAAAACAGCGTTTGCGAGATCGCCTAGTACATATATACAAACATACTAATATTGAGTATATTATAAAATTAAACTACTGTAAATATTCATAGGATCATATCAAATATATCAAAATAGCTATTTCTTTAGCACGTATAAATAAATTACCGGAAATCGATCTCGGAACGTCATTCATGTGACGCAACTTTCCTACTGCGTTATGGAGGCCGAGTTTGATGGTATAGTAAAAGTTCCACGGTTGGATCGCGTTGCGTACAAGGTCGATGCCATTGGCCTCGCTTGTTTACGAAACGACAGACATTTCGCAGTTTTAATTTTATTTAATATTATGATATCAATGAGCTATATATATATATATATTGTACTAACTGACCTGCGCAACTTCGTCTGCATTATACTTACTTGGTGTCTGTCAATATATTTCGCCTAATTACATTATATCTTACTAAATAAATGGGAGACTGACCTGACCTCATGCTCATGATACTTCGCTGATGCGCCACGCGCGTATACAGATAGCGAAGTCTAGTGCAGCATTCCATTATCATCTCCTCTTATTAATTGTTTAACCAGTTGGTTATATATTCAATATTTTTTCTATTTGAGTATTTAATTGAATTAGTGCTAATTGGTGGTTTG